ACTACCACTACCACTACGGCTACCACTACTACTTACTTCTTCTACTTTCTGCTACTAGTGCCACCAGGATTAGTCCTGGTACTGCCCATCAGCAACAAGTCAGCATTGCCAAATGCAGTTAGACCATGAGAGCTCTGCTGTTCTGTCTTGATGGCTCGCAGCTTAAGTTCTGCTGTTTTAGCACCCTTACCGTTGCCCTTTTCTCAGGACCCCCCTTTGGTGCGAAGCAAGAGCCTGAACCCTGCAATTTGGCCTCTAACGCCGAGGCCGGGCCTTCTGTAGCCCCGAGCTGCAGGAAGGCGAGCGCCGCTTGGTCCCGAGGCAGCAAGTCGCAGCAAGGAATCTTCGGGTTTTAGTGGGGTTTCGGGTTTTGGGTGCCTGTTCTCTTTATATGTCAACCCATGATTCTATTGCTCTGGGGTCTGGGGGCTAATGTCTCTTCGGGATTCGGGTTTTGAGGTCATATGGTCGATGCATTCGGGTCTGTCTTGTGTGACTGCATCTTCAAATGTAATCACATGTCGGCATCCTTCTCACAGTCTCCCGTGCTGCGTAGCGAGACAACTACACTTCTTGAGCTTTTGGGGTTGAGGGTTCCCCTATGCCTGACGTTGCGGGATAATGACAGGGCGCCTTACCAGTAGAAAGGCTGGTAGGCACAAGCGAGCAATACTCATACAGCCATACTCACACCGTCGTACCGTCTCCCAAGATAGATAATGCAGGAAAACAGCTATAACCAAGATGAGCATGGTTTTGAGAATAATGATTCCCAGATATTCTAAGCACCGTTTCGGGTCTCTCATGTTTTCACCGACCCAAAACATGCAGCCCGAAGCCAGAGCCGCAAGAGAGCTTGAGGTTTTCTATGCGTTTAACGAGCTCTGCCGGCCTTTGCATAAAGATCCGCAGAGCACCCGCAGCAAGTACGTCCGCCATGCCGCCTGGCAGTTCATGAAGCCCGGCTGAAGGTGGTCGTTGCTGTTATTCTGCTTCAACAGATGCACCTCATAAATCGTCCACATAGTTCGACACCCAGCAGGGTTTGCAAAACGGGCCCTAAATCAGGAAGAGATCCTTAGCCTCCTGCAAGCTGAGGAAGTCCGTGACGACGGTCGAAATGAATGACAGAGAGAGGCCGAAGGGCATTACCACTTCTACCACTGCCACCCCTACCACCGCTACCACTGCCACCACTGCCATGGCTAACGCTACCACCGCTACCAGCACTACCAGCACCACGAGCACCGCCGAGTGCGACGTCTGCGACTGCGACTACAACTGCGACTACGATGACTGCTACGACTACTACTATGCCACTATGCTACCGCTGTTGTCATTGTAAGCCGAATTAGAATCTATTAGAACTGTCAGCACGTTTTGTCTTGAAAAAGCAGTTAAACCCTCAAATATGACAGTTCGATCATTGCGATCATGATTCTAAAGTCTATTCTTGCTCTCATCATCATCGTTGACGGTGCTGTGGTACTTTCATCAGTGTTGAGATGGCTGCGCAAACGTAGCATGTGTTGAGCAGCTAGCTGATGCTAATTGCCCCGAATGTCGGCCCTGGCTAGGTGTTGTAGCATGTCTTTTAGACTGGTTTGCAGGGATTACTACGTGCGCTTCTGCCGGAAGCACTCCCGCAGCTCGAATGACGCCTCTTGGTCAGCTGGCAGCGTTGGATGAACGAAAGACATGCTTTGCTGTGCAAGCGAAACTTGTGAACTTGAACCCCGCGCTTGCTAGCATCTGTTAGAATCGTCTCTGTGAAGAAGGCAGTCGCGAACCGTCATCAAATCCGGATTGCAGGATCTATCGTGCTGCCGGCTCGTCCCCGACTGAAGCGCTGCTTTGCTGAGTTCAGCCAGCCAAGCCTTCGGTGGCCTAAACCAGATCTAAGCACAGCCGCTGGCTCCTGCTCCTGCGAGCGAGAAATACGAGGCAGTTTTCGTGGTTGCGACTAGAACGACAGCTGCAGCAGTTGTCACTGTAGAGCAGAGGAGCTGAAGCCAAGAGCGAGGGACGGGAGCTCAGGTGTACTGCACATGAGACCCGAGTTGCAGCCAAGGAAGGGCTATTGGGATGATCTGATGTCCAAATGGGAGCTGGCGATGAGGGGGCGCCAGTCTCTCCAAAGCGTTGAGCAGAAAAAGAACGATCTGGGAGTGATTCAAGCGGTGTAGCCTGACGAAGGAGCCTGCCCCACACCTAAGAATCCTTGCTTATGGGTAGGACTTCTCCAACAACCGTCAATAACCTACCATTCAGGCTCCGAAACAACGAAGCTTCGCATGTGCGGCGAAACTAAGGACTGTGAGCACAACGATCGCCAGCCCCGATGATGAGCTCGTGTTGAACTCAAATGGGTTGGGGCATCCGAGGGGCTCCAATTGCTGGGTCAGTTCTTCAGCAATGGCTAGAATATTCGTTGCAGAGATCTTGCAGTTTTTCTTCGCGCAGCGAAGTGGGCCGGATTACTAAAGCTGCTGCATAGGATTGCAGTGCATGATGGCTTGCGACGAATGAAGCTCCGAGGACTATCTTGCCGTGAGGTCTACCCCCCAAACCTCGAACTCGACATCCTAAACACGAGTCTGAGTCTCCAATTGGCGCCCCAAGCTGGCAAGCCGAGCCCCTTCACCTGCCATGTGCAATGGCCTTGACGCCCCAAAGGATGCGCTCTTGCATCGCGTGGACGGCATGGAGCGACGACTGATCCGGGGCCCACCCTCCGACCGGCTGGAGGCCGGCCCTTCAGCTTTGCACTTCGCGTGAAATGCGGAGACGGAGAAGATTTGGGAAATGGATCTCGGGTCTGATGGACGTTGCTGTCAAAGCTAAAGTAAAAGCTGTGTGACAGTTTCGTAACGGGCTTCAAGTTTTGAGACCTTCATGTTTCTTTTTTTTCGAGTTTGAGTCTGAAACAAGAGGCATGTGCGGGCCTGCTTCCTTTCATGTGTCCATGTCGTCAGGGCATCGCGTCCGCACTGTCCCACGCGCCCGCACGGGCCGCGAAGGCGGAGATGAGCCGTTGATGGTCACTAAGACCCTTGCATGTTCTGCCACAGCTCCCCCTGCGATGCTAAGAAAAAATACACATGAAATCCTTGTCTTCGCTGCAGGTGCAAGGTCTCGCCTTCCTGAGTGTGGCCAGGTAGCTCACCCTTCCAAACTTGATTGAGGTTTTGTGCCCAAACGGTTATCATCTGGAATTATGTATGTGTTGCTTGGTTTGCAGAGAGACCTGTCGGAATCTACATCGGGCTGGCACACTGCGAAGTTAAGAGCCGCACGGAAGACTTCCATGCAGATCGGGAAGAGGCATAGCCTAGGCTCGCGAGCTGGCACCAGTTGAAGCTTGGTTATCGTTGACATAATATGTCCTCTGTGCATCATGGTGCATCTCAGCAGATCTGGGAGTCGAGATTAGCTTGCAAGCGCATCATGGATGCTTCCAAACACAGCACCCTCAGACAGCAGCGAACAGTTTGTCGCGGGGCGCGTCCCCGTCTGCTAACGACTTGCTCCTGGCCGAACCGCTTGGCAGGGGAAGAAACATGTGGGGCCTTGCCAGGAAGCGTTGATTTGCACATTGGCCAGTCGATTCTGGGCACTGGAGCCTCTCAATGTCCTCTCAAGGTCCACGTGATGCAGCCCTTCATGACATCGCCTGGCATGGAAGAGTTTCAGCACGGTCCGGACCTTTTCGGGCTCGGATTGTTTTTTTTCTCCGCAACCTGCAGCAAAGGTCTCGGCGTCTTCCTGGGCTACGACGGCCAGGAAGATGTCCTGTCAGGCCAGTTTTGAAGCGTCCTTGCGTGGGAAGGTTTCGAGAGTGGGACTCTCACATCACCAGATACTCGTAGGTGGCTTCAGGCATGGGGCCTCGAGATCCTCTGATGTTTCTACAGCCACACGACAATTTCTGTCAAGGGCCGGTGGCCGAAAATTGGGACGAGGCCTGCTGCCGCCTTAACCTGGCTGTACTGTTGCCTGTTTTTTTGCCGACCTCTGAAGTGCCGCTTGACTGCCACAGCCTTACAGCGCCTCCAAGGTGTGACGATGGCATACCGGAAAGGAAGTGGCGTCAGCGCAAAGGCTGGGCCGCCTTGCTGCGATGTGTTCGGGTTCCGGCATGTTCCGGACCTGAATGGCACAGGAAGGGCACGACAGCGATCGGGGAACAGAAAGCCTAAGAGCGAGGACGCCATCATGTTAGATCAGCATGACGACAGAATCATACCTGTAACGAAGATGATGAACAGCAAGCCGAAGCTGGATGAAGTTAGCCCGTGCTGTCCCGCCCTCTCCCTCGTCCCACTTCAGTTTTCCACCTTCGAGTCTTCTGCAGGCCGTTACCTTCCCAGCTTGCCGCGGCTCGGCCTTCATCACAGCAGAGCTCGGGCCCTGTGTGGACTTGCGGGTGGCCGGGGATGATCCAAGGCTAGCCACAACCAATCTTACGATCTGCAGCGCGCAGGAGTAAGAGATAGTAAGAGTAAACACCGCTTCATGGTTATGACCTGTCCCAATCCCTGGAAAGGGAAGCAGGCGAGTCATCCAGGAAGGATGAACGAGTGGAAGTTCTCGGCGTCTGCGACATTTGGCCAAGGAGACCTATAGTTGGGTCCGCAGCTGTGCGTGTGTGTGTGTGTGTATATATATATATACATAATATATATATATGTATATGTATATATATATATGTATATATATACACATATGTAGATATGTGTATTTATATATGTATATATATATATATACACACACACACATACTTACATGCATGCATGCATACATACATACATAGATTTATATATATATATATAGACAACACATACATACGTACATACATACTTACACAC